AGTAATTAATTTATACTAATTAGTTATTATAGTTATAATTTACTATATTAGTATTTAATTAGTAGTTTTATTTAGTTTTTTAGTTTAAGTTAACCTATAAGTAGTAATTATAAATATTTAGTTTTATAGCTTATCTAATCTATAAAGAGGGGTTTTATATTCTTTATTCTCTTATATATATTTATTATCCTTTTAGTAAATATTTAGTATAAATAATTTATTCTCTTTAAAGTTTCTAACTTTACTTAAAGTATAGCTTCTTACCTCTCCTTATTAACTTATATTATCCTCTAATTATTTATTAAAATTATTTTCTCTATATAAGTTTATAGAAACTATTTTATTTAGTATTTAGTAAATACTAAGTATAAGTTCTTTAATTTAATTAGTAAGTATTACTTAAGTATATAGTACTATTATTATTATTAATTTTCTTAAAATAAAATAGAAGTAAAAGAATTATAAAAATATTTAAGGGCTATAGATTATAATTAGGTTAAATTAATAGAAGAAGTACTTAAAAAGTAAGTATAATATTATTATACTATTTTTACTTATTTCTTTTAAGATCTTCTTTTCTAATTTTTTAGTAAATATTTACTAAGTCCTTATTATAGAGGGTTTTATACCCTATCTCTATAGGGTTCTCTATCCTTTTAGCTTAGTTTAGCTAAACTATCCCTAAGCCCTTCTAGTCTAAGTAGCCAGACCCTTATATTTAAGGAGTAGGAATAGTGTATAGTAGATTTATAGATATATAGGCTTACCCTATATAATATATGCCCTAGGGAGCGATCTGAGCATAGCTCTAACGTCGAAAAATAGAATAACAATAACAACAAAAATCGCCAAAAGCCGGGCGCCTTGCTTTGCTTGATCGCCAGTGACCTGGATGTAGCCATCAACAGGTACATCCTTCAGGTAGACCAGGTCAGGCATCACGTAGCCTCCTCCTTGAATAGGATGTTCTGCTTGTGAAACTGGCTGCTTAGCTAAAACAGCCGCCCCCTAGGGCTCAACGATGAAGCATTTGCTTGATGGGTTTAAAGCCTTGAGCCGTTTCGTCACACCAGCATAAGTGCCTCCCGAGCCAACGTAGTCAACGAAGCCATCAAGATTGCCGTTGGTCTGTTCCCATAGCTCCGTGCCAGTTCCGTCGTAGTGCGCCAACCAGTTTCCATCGCGTGTGAACTGGTCAGCACGGAATGCCCCCAGCTCGGTTTCGATCTGCTTCGCTTTCTCTTCGACAAGCCTTAGGTCCGGGCCTGAAACCTGTCCAGGTATCGAACCAGGCATTTGGTCAACGAGCACAACCTCGGCGCCCAAGGCTGCCATCATGCGAGCACGTTCGACGGAGTTCCCCTTGGACATGACGGCGATGAATCTGTAGCCTTTGATGGCGCAAACGATCGAGAGGCCAGTTCCTGTGTTGCCACTCGTGAGCTCGACGACGGCTTGTCCGGGCTTGAGCGTGCCCAGCTTCTCTGCTTCTTCGATGATGCCGAACGCGACACGGTCTTTTTTCGATCCTCCAGGATTTAGGTAGTCGAGTTTGGCAACGATAGTTCCGTCGAGTCCGAGAGAGGACGTGATGCGGTCTAGACGCACGAGAGGTGTGCAGCCGATGGCGTCTGCCGCTGAGTTGAGAAGTGGTCGCATGGTAGGTTGCAATTGTGGCGAAGATAAAAGACAAGTCGCTCGAAAAAGAGACGATGTAGCGTAAATGCTCTGATACAAGCAACTACATTGCAAGGGCATGTACTTTGGGTGAGCTTTAAGTGTATATAAGTTTTCAAGTCGTTTTACTAAGAAGCTTTGACGTGGAGCATTTAGTTAACAAACTGTCGTACGAAGGGCGTAGCTAGCAGCCAAGATCTCATTAATCCTGGGCTGCAGTACATCCACCCCTCCAGCTTTTCTCCAAATTCTATTAGCCATAAGATTTCTCGTTAGCCAGCAAGGCGTATAAATTTTTTCTGATTGGCTATAACTCCCCATGTTATGCACTTGCTGTAGTCCACTCGCACATCCGGTCCATGGGATACAGTCATTGTATTGTTAGTCATGAAACCCACAGGGCGCACCAGGTTAGAACAGGCTGGAAGCTAATTAGCTCAAGTTCCTCTCATACGCACATTCGGGACCCCGGATAACCGAAGTAAAGTATGCCTGTGCTAAAATGATGAAGGTTTCACGTATTCAGAAATGTGACGCTATAGATCGATTAATACTTGCGCTGATTTTTCCTTGAGCAAGGTATCTTTGATAGACTCCTCGATCCTCTGATCATTAACACACTGAGCTCTTCGTCTTTAGTCTAATTATATCTCGATTTTAGTCTTCTATCAATTGAACTGTTAACCTTGAAACGAAAATGTTTACCACCTGTGGCAGTGGATTACTCTGACTACACGAGCAGGTACAAAATGCATAGATAACTAATGTAACAGAAATCATAACGAGGGCAACAACCAGGCCAAAAGCAGGGATGATGGCTAAGCTCAATGGGATAAAGGCTATTCACAGACGGATAAGTTGGATGTTTGAGACTAGTAGGGCGGCATTCAAAAAGTAAAGGCGGCAGGTGTCCAAAGCCAAAGACCAAGACACATTATCAAACGTTTGAAGGTCGATCGTATTGCTGCTGAAACATCCTACTAGTGAAGAAGTATCTCTCTATAGTATTGAAACGTGCTATAAAATGGTAATCTTTCCCCATGGAACATCGATGTCATCAAACCAAGACCCCAGCGTAGGCTCATAAATATCGTACCGGAGTTTGCCGATTCTTTTGTAACTGTTCCCAGACTTTTCGAGGACCAAACCATAGTAATTTCCGCGAATACGACTTTCGTCGGCCCTACTCTCCTTGTCTTCCTCGACCTGAACAGGCACGAACAGAACGGGACTGCAACGCTCGTCCTCGACGGTGTCGAACCTCATCAAGTACCCAGCCCATTTCTCACGCTGGTGATGAATTCTAATTCCTTCAATAGTCTCGAGCTTTTCAGCACCAATTTGTCCGTCTCGAGGCCCCTTAGCAAGGATAGCTCTGAGCAACCGGCATTTGAGAGTTAAGCTGCCGCCTTGTAGTTGGCCGGTATCGTCCGATGTCAGAGGAGTCGTTGTAGCCTCAATGACAGACACCAATACCCTATGACGCTTTGGGAACCACGAATAACCCTCATGGTACGTGAACCAAGATGCATTATCAACGGAAGCCCAGGACCAAGACGGTGCTCGATACCGCTCCGGTCGTTTTGCCGGATTGGAAACCTGCCAAAGCAAGTTGCGCGGCATCCTCGATCTCCAGAGACCGCCGAGATAGACTGATGATTCACCCAGATGGCTGAGATGCTTTTTCATGTCTTTTGCAATAGCCGATATTGCCACAAGCTTGTCGTCACTCTTGGTGAGATGACAGTCGTTATAATAATCAAGAATGTGGTACCATTCGATGAAGATGCAGTCGATTGGGTTCTCGAAGCTCGGCGGCTCGTATCCAATAGTGGTCTTCCACACAGTCCGTCGCTTGTACTTGGGTCTGATATCGGGATGAGCGAGGAGAACATGAACGCTCTTCCACTTGTCAAACTTTGGCTGAGCCTCAGAGGAGACGGACGTATTGCACTCCCACAACACCTGGCTCTTCCCAAAGTGAAGAACCCGAGGAGCCAGTATCCTTTCTTGAAGAACCCAACCACGCTTAGACAGCACAGCAGATTGAGAGTCTGTGTTTCTGATGTAGGCCATGGCCATCTCTCCAGCATGAGGCACGGGCTTGTTTGACTCGCCGATAGGTATATTGACCACCGGAATCCTGACGGCGAGCGGATCACGAGAGAAGAATAGCCCCCCGTCATCATCTTCCGCGCCCAATGCCGAGATACAAATGATGGAGCTTGCATAAACGTTATGCATTTCTGATGCCTCTGCAAGCCAGTCCTCCTCAGAGTCTTGGAAGATGCAGAAGCGGTCGATCCAGAGGTACTCGAGCTGAAGCCTCTCCAGTACGACAAAGGCCTCTCGAAACGTCTTTGGTAGATTGGCTATGGGTTGTGAGGTTGACAAGGTCGCCAGATTGGTTTGATTCAATATCAGGTTCCTATCCCAGGGCTTAGTTCCCCAACAATGACTGAGCGTCGCATAGCTGGCTCGCGTTGCAATCTCTTGCCTTGTAACCAAGCGGAAAGTTCTCTGCTGGCCGACCGTTTCGAGCTTTAGGAGTCGAGAAGGTAGTTTTCGTCGATGCGTTTCCGAAATATCTCTTGAAGACTCTGTTGCGAAATCTTGCTGGACTATTCCGTCTGGCAACGACCTAGAATTGCAGTTGGGGTGATTTTCAACACAATTACTGATCCAATCTTCAACAACGCGCCAAGTTGCTTCGTCGTTTGTGGACTGTCCGATAAAGTCGTTGAAGGGACTAACCTGGTGTTCTATCGGCTCAAAAGTCAACATCAATATACTCCTGCCGATTCTTCAGTCTTACCGTCTACACAAGATTTCCAGCGGGTTGAACTCGATTGTGCGCCTTGCCATACTACCATGATAAAAGTGTCCCCTTCATCATGTCTTGCTTTTTCCAATTTGACGACGAAGGTAGTAAAGAAACCAGGATTTGAGAAAGTTGAGCCGTGGCCGTCATCATTAGCAGTATCTCCAACCTGCTCATCGCAGTCGATCATCCTGCAAATCTCACAACCTTCAGACTTTGCTTGTAACCAGGACGTCTTAGTAAGATGATGTGCGAATGCGTACATCTCGACTTCAGAGCTTAAGTGATATAGCTTCATTCCGTTATACGTAGATCTTGTCACGTTGACCCGGGGAGAGGCAACTGCTTTCGCTATCTCATCTTGGTCTGACGTGAGCACAGGAGTTTCATTTTCGTCGCTGTATCCGACTCTTTTGACCTTTGAAGGGTCTCGGAAGCCTTCAAGGCCATTCAAACAGACTTGGCATAACATAGTCTCAGTACCTATAGTTAGGAGAGGATCCGGTGCGTGATCAGTATTGAACAGAAGATGTTTGCTCGGCTGATTTCTTTGCTGACGTAGTATACAGAAAGGTCGTTTCCAGGCAGGCAACTCCTCGAAAAACACCGCATCTCTGTGCCGCACGACTGCAACCAATGAGCACAAAGCTGCACGCGCTGGTGGTACTACCGTTCATGATACTTGCATAACCAATCAAACGAGTTCATAGATGTGCATCAGACTTTGGGCTAACCCGTCTGTCCGCTAGCGCAAGTCATGACTTTAGCCGAGGAATCTAGAAATTTAAGCATGAACAGCGTGATGAGCATTCTGTATGGCTGTATCTACATAGAAAATCATCTCCTGGGCACTCTACTGCCCTCCTCGCGGGACCCTGTCGAAGCTAGCTGACATACCAAGGTCAACACCGGAGCTCCTCTGCCTCCAATTCTGATCAGATGAAGCCATCTCTGCCAAACCACCTCGGCTTGGAGTCAAATGACCTGCGGGCCCCTGACGAAGATCAGGTTGGTTCGACATCACGTACATGTCTTGAATGTCCTGTTCAAACCTCTGAGACTCAGCTCCTTGCTGCTGAGAAAACCTCTGGTTTCGTTGATCGTCGAACTGATTCTGGGTCTGAGAGCCTTGAATGAGCTGCTCGGACTTCTTCCTAGACCACCCGTGACTTGACCGCCTTGCGCTGGCATCTGAGCCGAAGCGACGCGATAAGTCTGGCTAGGTGGAGTGCTGGGATACTGAGCAGGATGCGCTTGTGTTGACGTTCTGTAAGGGTCAGGCGGTGGAGGCCCTAGGGGTTGGGGTTGCGAGTAGCCTTGAGGCGGCCCTCGATAGGTCGGCTGAGTCTGATAGCTTGATTGAGAATAGCCTTGCGCATGCTGATTTCGAGGACTGTCGTGCTGGCGGAGGCCAACCATTTGCAAGGGGCTTTGAGATTGACGGTATGCTTCCTTCCTGTCAACCCGGCCGCCTGCGCGAGTGTCGCTGACGACTTTGTCATTTTCAACAACCAAGATGGCCCTTAGTCTGTCCTCTTTTGCTTTGCTAGCAGCATTGGCTCCGTAGATCTTGCTCATGTACTCAGCGAACTTGAGATACGCGTCGCGCACCGTCTCAAAGTGCCTGACAGCCAGGTTGACGACGGCATCCGGCTTCATAATGGCATCGTGTCTCCCGCCATGAGCTTGGTATTCGGTCAATGCCAATGCAGTTTGACAGGCGTTGCGGATTTGGCGACCATTCCAGCGTGCGCTGAGGTGATTGATGTAATGCTGCGTGGCGAAAGCGGCAATTTCCATTCCGTCGATGTCTATATGTCGCCCCTTCAACGCAAAACGTTCCCTGATCAGATCCAAATTGATCTTGAACACCCTGAGAGTTTTCTTCTCGCTCAATTCAGGGTAGTAGAGACTCATGTGGATGCGTGAAGTGAAAGCCTCATCAAAGTCACCCACTCGGTTAGTCGTTAGGAAGAGAATGCCGGAGTAGTACTCAAGCACTCGGAGGAAGACTGAAAAAAAGGTTAGATCCGATAGTTTTGAACAGAATGCTCCAGCGTACCTGCCACTAGTCCGTTCCTTACAAAGTCCTCTTTGGTTCGCTCGGCAAGGAATACGTCTGCCTCATCCAAAAGCAGAATGCACCCCCATGTGTTAGCCAAAGCAAAATTACTTTCGAGAGTCTGTTCAACCTCCTTTGCCGTAGTCCCCAAGTCACCTGTCCAGCAAGTAACACAATCTAGGCCAAATCTCAGAAAACATACCACATGTGATTTGAAAAAGTGGTTTTCCAAACATCTCTGCAATCCCCTCTGTGAAATAGACATTTAGAATAAATCTGGATTGAGTTGTTCCTGATTAGCTCACCTGAGGTCGAGGTTTTCCCTACCCAGGAGCTCCGTGAAGTAGAAGGATTAGCCCTTTCCCTACATGTATGGTTAGGAGTGAATGGAAGATGATCCAGTGGGGCATACTTCTCATCTTTCCCTTTCACAACATCGACTTGTTCGTGAGGTCCTCCTTTAGACTCCTTGTCCCGGAAATGTTGAGATATCGAAGATTCGATCATGGACTTATGCCCAACTTCCAGAACGAGCCGGTCGAAAGCTGTTCTTCTAATGTTGCTTCTATTACTTCCGATGGCCGGAGGACTCTCTCCGGCGTTTGCACGTTCTTCGGCAGAAGTCATGCTAGACAAGAAGTTGAGATCCAGTTGAGCTTAGCCGGTGCGAGTCGACTGGTTCCGCGAGAAGCGCAGAAGCGCAGCAGACAACGCTTCGGTGGTGTCAGAAGTCGTGGGGAGTGTGTCGGCACTAGTACCAGATACGGTGTTCTCGACTCCGACTTTGGGAGTTGTGCAACTCCTTCTAGACGTAAGACATCAGTGTGAGTCAAAGAGCAAGTACCATTACTAACTTGAGGAGGCTGTCAATAAAGGAGCAGAAGTTCGCGCACAGGCTTCCGAGGGGCTTGATGGCCTCATTCCCATCTTCTCGGATGTTGAACTGCTTGTGGCGGTCTATCCGGGCGATAGGAACATACAGAAAGCTTCTTTAAGTCTCGCAATTTCGATGTTGGAAGCTATCGAGCGATTAACTGGGTTCTTCCTCAGCAAACCAAGCAAGTTACCTCACTGAAAAACCTGAACAATGTCTTGAACGTCAATGCTCCAGCTCGACTTGCTGACCTTATGTTCTGTCATGATTAGTTGTGCGATTCGGCAAGACCTTAGGCCAAGGAAGCTACTACGAATCAGACCTGGTACAAAGTCTGCAAACCATTAACCAAAAAGTGGAAAGGGTCGTAGCCGAAACTACAAAATCTTATCAATTTGAGACGCGCCTCTGTAAGAATATTTTGCCAATATTGTGTTCGGGATAGGATCAGAAACTAAGATTTGCTTTCGGGGCAAAGGAAAATTTCCTCTTGTTTCTCTCACGCTTAAATCCCCACTATACCTCATTCTATTGCTATACGTGAATTTTCTGTACTCCTTGTTAGTCTAATTCCGTCTCCTCAATGGGTTGATGTTTTATAGGTATATATGAAGCTAACAGCTCAAAGATTCTCAAGACACGATAAGATTGGCACGGAAGGTTCATCTCGGAAGGTTCATCACGACAATCAGAAAACAAAGTTCGAAGTGCAAACAAAGATGGCTTCGATGTACACAAACGTCATGGCCCTTCTTGATGGCCATACGCAGAAGAAAGACAGTATGTGAACGGTTGTTTGGTTGTCATAATTGAGATTAGTCAATTGCTCTGTCTTGTATATCAAGTGGAACTCATCTAACACGATGGAATATTCAGGAGAGCTTCGGGAGGAAATAAAAAGAGGTACACCCAAGTTATTTCCGAGGGAATAAGAAGCGCGGCTTTTCTGACAATGTGAAACCAGGTCTTGCTGTAGAAGTGGCTTCTCTGCGTTTGGAAAACACCTTTCTGCGAAGTACGTCACCAGGGCTGCAGCACACCTGGGGGCCATACACGCCTCCGCGGCCACAGAATCAACCAGCCTTGGAATGGGTTGTCACCAAGGAAATGCTCCAAGAAACGCTGAGAGGCCACAATGCCGACATTGATGAATCTTTCGCGTTGAGCAAGGCGTCGGACTTCCCGTCTCGGGAGCGCCCCCATGCACAGCAAATTGTCAGCAACCGATTGTTTCAGGATTGGATAGCCTCACCGCACTCAACCAAGCTTTTGGTACATTGGGATGGGCGACTCCCGAGAACGATCGCTGATCTATCGCCCCTGTCTGTGTTCTGTATATCCATGTCACAGATGTCACGTGGTCATCCACACTTCATACCTCTCATATGGCTTTGTGGTCTCCATCTTGATCCGGATGAGAGCCCAGTGGGTGGTGGCTCCATGCTCTGCAGCCTCATTGACCAGCTTCTGCGTCGACATGAAAATGACTTGAGTTCGATAACAACAACTGGAGCTATCGATTTCAACCTCTTGCAGGCTGGCGACGACAAAGAGTTGTTGCGCTTACTGTACTTCCTGGTTCTTCAGATTCCAGACGCTATCCCCCTCGTTCTTCTCATAGACAACGTCGTGCTTTACGAACGAGAGGAGATGGATGCTTTCGATGCTTTGGCCGGTCTATTAGGAATGGTCAGTGAAAGGTTGCCAGCAGCTGTTAAGCTTCTCTTCACCAGCACACCAGGGACTATTGAAGTGAGAGGTGCATTCGAAGACGAGGGTCTGATTTTAAATGTTGATACGTTGCCGTCCCTTGTATGGGCTCCCAGCGATGAGCGCGTTGCGAGAGAGTGGGAAGATACGGTTCAAGAGTCATGGCCTGTGTACTCTGAATTTTCTCCTTCAGAGTATTTGTTGATAGTTATCATTACTCTCATTAGCTTTTACTTCAATATCTGACCGTACATAGCACCGCTATTCCATACGGATTTCCTGAACTTCCCACGTCCTCTCAACCACAATTCCAAACTCTCCAAGGAAATTCGCAGCACCCTCGGACATCGGCATCTCCTTCTTTCTCCGAAACGACGTGATGTTGACTTTTGTTGAGCCCTTGTTGTTCAGCGTCAAGTCCGTCTGGTCGTCCTGGGCGCCCAAAGCTGACGGCGGCAGCCCTTTCTTCTTGCCGAAGAGTTTGAAATTGCTATCCAGAGAGCCGCTCGTTCCCGTCCGATTGACCCCAATCAAGTCCACCTCGCTTCCGGATCGTTGATGGGAGAACTGTTGTGCGGGGTCCTGTGACATGACTCCTTCCGTAAAAGAATCTCGTCGGTTCGTTGGCAGACTTCGCGACAACAAGGAGTTTACTCGGCGGTCTCGGAGATGACGAATTGTTGCAAGAGATGCGGTGGTGACGCCGATGCCGATTTCTGCGATTGTCCAGCACGAGGTGCTCATGTAGCCTTTCGGGGGCGCGTGCCCTAGACTCCAGATACGACCGGCGGAAATTATGGGAACGCTAGTCACTGGTCAGTCATGGATAGACAGGAGAAATGGGAACCGAATCAACTTACATTGCGCCAATTCCGAAGACGCCGAACACAGCCCAGATCTGGCGTCCGCGAAGTTTTAAACTCCAGAGAGTCGGAAAGGGCAGAAACAGCACAATGACATCCGTCACCATAGTTCCTGTAGCGTTGATATACGTCGATACGAACGTCGGTAGACACACGACTCCCTCGACGTCCAGACTCCAATTCGCCTGGATGGGAACGCAGACCAACACCGCCAGAAGGATCTGGGTGATGCTCCAAGCTCCAACAACGAAGATCGCCACCATGTAGACGATTCTCATGACACGAACGTTTCTGAAGATCTGATAGAATTGGAACAAGAACGTCATCTTGAGCGAGGCCATAGCCAAATTGTAAGTAATTGCGGTTGCGTATGGGATCTATCGATTAGGTTAGGCTACGGCTCGGTCATGGAGAGATGGTCCATACCCTGGAGCCTGCATTATTCGAAATCATGGATGTCATCTCAGGCAGATAACGCATCGTGAAGACACTTTGCATGACGTTGACGGCAATGACACACAGCTGAAATCTTGTCAATAAACCTGGTGCGACCAATCGAGAGATAGTCGTCGTACCAAAGCAAGCAATGCCCAAGCGTCGTCTACCCTAACCCTTCGAATGACGAATTTGTGTGTGTAAAGTCGGGCGATGACGGATACCGTGGTGATGATTGTTACAATCGCGCCAAATGCGACGGTTGCGCGGGCTTGGCTTGCGCTGTAGACGAAGTCTTCCTGAACGGGAGGCCCGCCGTTCGGCGGTGGTGACGCCGACGGCCCAGCCGCAGCGGAGGATGATAGAGGCTCGGCCATCTTGTCATGAAGAGACAAGACGGTTGCCGCTCAACAGACCCAGAGGCGAACCCATGGAGTTTTTGAGCAAAGACTCTCGCACTCTGCAGACCAACGAGAGTGGAGGAAACAAGCTTGTCTTAAGGAGGCAGGTGAAGACTGGGGCAACACTTTAGTGAAACAAGGGGCCGGCACAGGTAACATGCTTGCAAAGGATTCGCTTTAAACGGATCTGACGAGCCGTGCAATGTAGACTATATTGCGGGCCGTACGGAAATCTTTCCTCTTTCGGGCTCTGAATATCCGTTGGGCAAACCAATTTGCGAAGTACGAAAAGCGGTTCCATCACCCCGTCTCCTCACGTTCGTCCTTTGTCAAGGGTCCCCCCCCCCCCCCCCCCCCAANTCCTTTTTTAAGGGGCCCCCCCCCCCCCCACTCTCAATGGGACCAGCACTGACAAGTGACACCACGTTCAGCCAATCCCACGCCGATCTTCCGAAGTTCGGTTGGGCATGTTCTTCAACTCCTGGTTGCAACGGTTGCAACGGTTGCAATCGGAGTTGGTGCGCTTCCCATGACACACGATGGTGGGCGGGCTATCATCCACCCTGCCTGGCCTGCCATCCAAAACATCGTCGAAAATCGAAGCCATCAAAAATCAACAACAGGCATTCGCCGGTCGTCACCGACCCGACTACTACTCTGTCCCTCATCAGCTTATCTATGGGAGAGCGGACGGGATCCCGAGTTTTCCGATGGGTATGGTCGTATGTGAAGGAGATGCCATCATGAGTTGCTTATATCGCAAAGCCCTCGACCTCACACCACGAAGCCAGCAACTTTGGTCCTTGATCTGCAACACAACGAAACATTGAAAGCGGCATGCTGACGCAAGCTGATCATGTTTCTCTTGGTTGAAGTGGACTGAAGTTTCTCTGGGCATTGTTGGCTTGGCTTCCTGTCAGGTTTGAAGTCCCTCGAGCGACTCAGTCTTAGCCCCCCGCACGTCACCAGCCTGACTGGAATTCACAATCTTCATTGCCGCATTTGCCTCCCAAAACCCGAGTCATGCCGCATCATCAGTTCTCCCACCAACTGTAACCTTTCCAAATATTTACCAACCTCCATTTAATTGCCTCAGATCTTCGAAATGGGGGCTTTGCCCGAATCTTCAATCGCACCAATTCTGCAATGGAACCGTGCCTTGAACCATCGTCAGCCCTGGAGAATTGTGTCACCGCAAATCAAGGTCACAATCGCTTCGATCTTCATGGGAGCGGGATTGTGGGGGGCCACGCGAGTTGAGGAGCTTTCGCCTGCCCGCTTTCCGCGACACCCATCCATTTTGCAGTCCCAGTTAAGATTTTGGGGGCAAGTCCACAATTCATTCGCACATCCTCGAGGAAGACTCGTACGTTGATTTCTCTTAGTACACGCTAAGTTTCCCGCCCATCTTAGACTGTCTCGGGACTTGGGGTGGAAACAGCTAGTTCAACCGTCCCCCAATGCTGGAGCAGAACCACACGGGCCCATGAGATCGGCATGGGAATACACAGACTCTTCATCTGCGATATATCCGAAGCCGCCGCGCAGCCTGATCGTGGCTCCGCAGAGCAATCCGATTATCTGATTCTGAAAAGACTAGGTATTGGACATCGGTATCCGGCTCGTCGATCTTCAAAGACTCCGATCTCCTTTTCTCATGCCGAGGCATCGCAAGACACCAAAACAATGGAATAAATGAAAATTGGACTACAGGCGTCAAGCGATGCTAATATTACACAAGCTTTAAGGCTGATCGGTCTCAATTAAACCATCCCAAATTGACGGATTGTCTAACCGGATTTTCTCCTTCTCCATCTGGCATAACCCCGAAACAACGCCAGCGGTATTCCAAAACGAGAAGGTCAGCAATTATGTTCTGAATCAAGAAAATAATCAAAATTCATGACTTTTGGCAAGCCAGATGCCAGGTGGGAACGCGGCACCCGATGCGTTCGGAATCGTCATCGCTAGTGTCGGTTTCTGGGATGAATGCTGCATTAGCCTCAATGTGAACTAGGTGCGTTTCCACATCGCTCGCGTGACCCGTCTGGCTATTGAAGGGTTGGTGGAAACTGGGTATCTGACTAGGTCTAGAACCCGTCGGGTAACGCCATGGAGTCCAAAACACCCAGGGTACTTTACGGTCCTTGCCCCTGAGTTATCGAGGATCAATGCTTCACACCAAAGGATTGAAGTTGAACAGCCGTCCGCATCACGGTCAATGAATTCACTCTCCCACAGATCGCTTCTTGGGGTTGCCCTCATTGGACAACGAATGTGTTGAGTCACGCACCCAATGCCGACCCCTCTTCAAATGGGATTGCCGACGCAAAGCTGATCACACTGGTGGACTACGACGACGATTGATATGGAAAAGTGACGAGATGTTATCCCTATCGAGCGCGGTCGGACTTCAAACTCAAGGCGTGACGCGCGGGGGCTCCAGTCAGTCAACAAAGATCGACGCTTTTGTAGCCTTTTTTGATTCATGTAGTTGAGAGACTTCGGGGGGAAAAGCGGAAAATTGTGTGCAGATCGCTTATCCTGCAGGCCACCTACATGCAATGGGATAAGGCTGCGACTGAGGGATTAAGTTTCAAGCTGGTCGAATGACGAATCTGGACCAAAGTCTGAGTGAAGATGGTTCACCGTCCCAATCTGGCAGATGAGCTACAGAATCTCCGGTGGGATCTCAAGAAATGCCACTCATATATTCCTTGTGATTGGCCATTCTAACTCAAACTTGTATCAAGATCCCCTGAGACGGTGAAGATCACGGAGAGTAAACAACACCCCGAGAAACATTGTTGTCCAGGAATCCCCGCCCCAAGAGATCGATCAGGTTTTAGACGAATCGTGCTTCCGCATGTCTAGATCCCAATGCGGCTGATTGGAACATGCCTAAATCCAACAGCAGACTCCGAATGAAAAGCCTTTGGTGGAAATAGCATTTAATACGACTTCTCTATCAAACCACTTCCTCCTTGGCCTGAAATTTTCAGTCCCGGGCCTTTCCGACAATGCCATCCTCTCGATGAGCCCAGATGACAAAGGATTCCATGTTTGAGTCAAACGCAGCCCGTTCTCTGACAACCTTGAACCCCTTCTGCCGCAGCAAGTCTTCAATATTCTGTCTATCTCCAGAACTCTCGGTAGTCTCCAGCACAACATTCCTTATCAATGTCCAGTGCTCATCATCCACACCCAGTAAAACCCCGAGTTCAGAACCCTCGACATCCACCTTCAACAAGTCAATCATCTCAACCCCGTCCAAAAACAGAGATAGCCTTTCAATTTTGATATCCAGAAACTGAGGGTTTCCAAAATTCGTGTCCACAAACTCCTTTCCAAATCTCTCAGCAATAGCTTCGTAAGTCGACTTCTTTGTTTCGGGCCTCAGAGTCGAGTTGCCGGGAAAGGTAGGATAGAACGTCAGCTTCTCTGCGCTGGCTGTAGGGCCGAGACCGTACTGATGAGCCTCTACTCCCGAGATGCCATTCAGCTCAAAATTGCGATGCAAGGTTGCGAAAGATTCGGGCGCTGGCTCGAAGGCGATGATCTTTGCGGTAGGGTGTTTCTTCTTCATGTAGATAGAGAAGAGCCCGATGTTGGCACCGGCGTCTACTATGACGGGATTCTCGGACAAATTCGGCCCATCGTAGCAATGTTCTTCCCATATCTCTTTATAGATGAAGCGGGCTTCCGTCTCCCCACTAGTGTAACAGGATAACCCGTCGGCCAAGTTGATGAGTTGCGCCATCGTGCCTGATTTGATAGCGCTTCTATCGGAAGGGATGATCAGAAGTTGCAGTGTATCAATCGGGCGTAAAGTCTGTCATCATTGACCTAGCAGAGAAGGTGAGAATGCTTTGGCAACGAGGCCGGAAATGCGGCTGTGCTTGGGGTCTTAATACCGAGCCAAATGACCAAGCGTCTTCCGGATATATCACAGAGAAAACACGTTGCAATTAACGCCCGATAATGGGCTGACATGAGGAGCCTGAGGATGCACCAACAGGCGAGGGACGAGATCCATGCTAACCCCTCATTACTACAGGGGAAAAGAGGACTCTGCGTACTTATCAAGTCATAACCAACTGCATAAATGGTGCATTAGTGCTGACAACGAATTGTAGACCCCGCGCCGTTGATGGAAAACACGACCTCGGGTGATTGCATCGGCTTAAAGGTCGTCGCTTTTCCACGTGATGCTTTCAAGTTTTGTAGCAACTGTGCATGGTTCTGAGTGCGTGTCGAATTATCTAATTGACTTTCTGATACTAACAAGTGCGAAGAAGGTTTGTCAACACATGTATGAAATAAGATGTCGTATTGTATCAATCTGGCCAAACTCCGTATTGACTATAACGCCAATGAAGTTGTCTATTCTGCAGCACAGGTACTGATACGGATGTCGACAACAAGAATGATAGAGACAACAGTCGGGATGACAAGGGAGAAAGGTGCAGTGGAATGGAGTTTTTATAAATATGAGTAAATAGAACACATCGCCCACTTAGCTAGAAGCATCTGCCAAAATAACGAAAAGGACGCCAACACTTCAATCAGAGAGAGCCAATTTAAGACTTGACATTTGCTATTCTTACTAAGGTAGATAGCCGGTCTGTACGCGTCTACACAGCATCCAGTTTGTTGACGATGAGCAACAGGACATCCTCCACCTGAGCCGGTCTCTGGGTCTCGATTTTCAGCGTCTTTCATTTTCACACGAACATTGCCGAGGCGACATAGACGACAATGCCCTAGGCATAGACAGCAGAGAAGGTCCAATAGGCAGCCAGCGGTTCCGTCTTGGGGAGTAAGTTTCCAATTCACGTATTGAGATGATATCCTAAATCAAAAATCATACCACAGTTCCTTTTGAAATCGGCCACACCCAGAAGCGTTCCAATCAGCACCATGCGGTTCACAAGCGCGTACAGGCACTATGAAATATCTTCACATTGACTCTTTGATTTGCGATACCTAAATTACACGCACACGCGCCTTGAGATATGCCGTCAATTGTATCGAAACGAAACGGTACACATCCATTTGACAGTTGTTCGAGCCGTAATGCCGGCCAGCTGCTACAGTTTTCTCATGGCGATCAACCACGAACTCGGCAATTATACAAATACTCATGAACAGTGCATCCGCGCCAATCATTTGTCGCTTTAAGCGACCACATCTCTCGGTAGCCCAGTCTGTGTTGATCATTCTTGGAGTTCCGCGTGGTCACACGAATATAAGTTGACCTGTTCCCTCTTGACAGAAACAATTTTTGCACAACGACTAGTGTTCACCTTCGACCTAATCCCAATCGTCGTAACCGCAACCATGAGGATTTCAACCCCGCACCTATCCTCGTGGCTTCCGCTGAGCAGTTTCATCGGTACCATTCTTGGACAGGATGACCTCGGCACCAACAATGGCTTCGTGGACATTGAGACATCCAACTTCAAGGCCCGAATTGTGCGAGACGCTCAAATTTTAGCGTCTCTGAAGCCCAATGGGGACGACTTCGACTACCTCCCTTTCGACATTCTGGGAAACCGTTCTCGTAACGGACAATACCATTGGGGTGATGTTACCTACAGATATCGAATTGAAGGCGACAACAGCTGGATCGATGGAAATTCTGCCCAGACCCGCAAGCCTGTCGTTGCTCTATCCCCAAATGACGGGGTTCTTGCCGCCGCAGACCTCTCCTCCACGCTTCCCTCGGGCCCGCTCAACGTGACTCGAGAATGGCTCAATATCGACGGCGATCTCGCCCTGTGCTTCACCTTCAGCAACGCCGGGAACTCCAGCATTGAGATCGGTAGTCTTGGGTTTTCCGCCGAGTTCAACAGCATTTTTACGCACCACCATCCGGCGGACGCAACAGCGGCCTGTTCTCTTTCCGAACCGTATATTGGTATGGACGCTGGCCAGATTCGCGTTACCCCTATCAAAGGCACAGGACCCGCACTCGTCGTCACGGCCCTCCATGGAACCAAATCACCACTGGAAGCGTACCGAAACTTATGGGAGATGGGCTACGGAGGATCTTCCTATTCAAGCCAGACGTTTGAGGGTTTCTACGAATGGCAAGTGCTGACAAAAGCATGGGCGGAGAACGAATGGGCCGTCCAGGGGGCACACGCTTGGAATCCTCCTTCTTCCCGAAAACTGGAGCCTGGATCAAACCTTCAATCTTGAGTGAGGTTCACAATCGCCCCTGAGGGCGTCCGAGGATATGACAAGGCGGTTCGAAAAGTTGGCCAGCCGACCGCGCTCAGCGTCCCAAGCTATATTCTTCCACGAGATCTGCCGGGAAAGCTGTTCCTGCAGTCCGATGCTCCCGTGACTAACATCGCCATTGACCCCCAGGGATCGCTCTCCGTGGACCAGACCGGCGATTCTGCTTATTCAGTGACACCTACAGATCACGCTTTCGGAAGAGCGAGGCTCACTATTACGTATGATGATGGGAAGATTCAGACAATTCACTACTATATCACCAAACCTGCCACCGAAGCTCTTCAGGACATGGGCCATTTGCTTACGACGAAAGCATACTTTACCAATGAGTCTGATCCTTTTGGTCGTGCGCCATCTGTCATGACCTACGATTGCGAGAGCGACTCGGTAGTCACGCAGGATCTCAGGGCTTGGGTAGTCGGACTGAGTGACGAGGGCGGAGCTGGAGCTTACATTGCGGCTGTCGTCAAGCAAGCTGTGTACCCGGATGCGGACGAAGTTGCAAAACTTGACACCTTTGTGAACAAGGTGGTTTGGGGTAACATCCAACAAGAAGACTACGCCGTCCGGAACTCCGTTTTCTTCTACGAGCCAGCAGAGGTGCCCGGGTTTGTGTACGAGAACTTTGACTGGAGCTCTTGGATGTCTTGGAACAAAGGCCGGGCGCTTGCCACCGACAGAGGCTACAACTACGTTCATCCCTCTGCAGCATACTGGTCCCTCTATAGGGTCGGAAGAGCTTACCCAGAGCTTGTCAGTCAGGACTGGAGCTGGTATCTTGACAAGGCTTATCGAACGGCTCTCCGCATCTCGGGTGGTGGTGTTGCTTGGGTGGAGATGGGACTTATGGGCGAAACTGTTTAGGGTATGATCATGACCGACCTGGTGCGTGAAGGGCTCGAAGATGAGGCCGCCACTCTTGCGGCACTCATAAAGTCTCGTGCCGAACACTGGAATTCCATCGACGCCCCTTTTGGGAGTGAGATGGCATGGGACTCTACTGGCCAGGAAGGCGTCTACTACTGGTCTAGGTGAGTATGATCAAAATTCTTTGAGGAATCCCACCGACTTACCGTTATTCATCAGACACTTCGGCTTCACGGACTTAGCGAAACGGGCAGTTGATACCGTACTTGGCTTCACGCCTAATGTGCCGCACTGGGGCTGGAACGGCAATTCGCATCGATACTGGGACTTTGAGTAAGTGTTGCCAACCGCACATCGGTCCGCTTGAACTTCTAAGAAACGAGTATGAAACGAGACATTCTAACATATAGACGTCAGTCTCGCTGGGAAGCTACGACGACTGGAGCGCCAGATTCACCACTACGGATCCGCTCTGAACTCCCAAGTCCTACTCTCGGCTTTCCGCGATGACCCCTCTGACTCCTATCTCCTGCGTACCGGTCACGGTGGAAGCTTTGCACCACTTTCGAACATCAACGAGGCCGGTTGCCCGAGCGCTGGGTTCCACTCGTTCCCCGAGACCTTGAAGTGGGATGGCTTCACCGGCGACTATGGCCCGGGCTTCCTCAGCATGGTCTTGAACACGGGAACATACGTAGCTGAAGATGAGCAAGTCGGCCTTGTGGCCTACGGCGGGGAAATTTCGACCGATGGCAATAAGGTGACGGTCCTTCCGCGTGATCCTGTCAGAAAGAGGATATTCATCGGTCTTCTGGCTGTCATAATTACAGTCGGTGTGGGTGTCATCAAGCAGTTTTCTTACAACGTCGAAGAAAGGACCATCTCCATGACCTTGTCGCAGCTTGTGGGCGTCCCAAAGGCCATGAATGCAACTGTGTGGACGGAATCGATGCAATCGCCTTGGGAAGTCACTGGTGATCAGGTCGAGACGGCCCGCGGCGGACGGAGAGTTTCTCGAGTCGAAGATAAGGTTACCGTTACCCTGTCTTCAAAGTCGACTTGAAGGGCCAGGTACTTGGTGCGAAATTCCATTCTTAAGGTAAGGTTGTTCGGATTACTCTGCTTGTGGTTTGACATAAATACTCAATACAAATGGACTGATTGGAGTCGCCTGAATGCGCCATCCCGATAACCTCAGTGCTCCCTCTTCTTACACATCTGTTTGGCACTCATCCAGAGCGTCCAGCTGAGGTCCTAGTGATACTCACACAGAATCGAGGCAACCAACTGAGCTATTAAACTTTTATTGAAATAAACCCTTAACATAAACATTATCCCTAAGGTGCTCGCTCGTGTGTGCAATGTCTAAGTCTAGATGCACCAATTGATGCCGTAATTATTCCCTCGAGACCCGAAATCCATCCCTTGCTTTGCCGTCATTTTGCTCAGAGATCATGATTATTGTGCAATAATGTGACGTATCTCTTCCTGGACATCTCACTTCATGCCTGTAACTTCCAGCCGCCTGTTCGTAATGAAGGTTTCGAATCAGCACTTGTGACGTCCCAACCACTGGAACTCGGTAATGCACTTCGAGCGCACGAGACCGCCACCCAAGCTGTTCTTGTTGTCGGCGCATCCACAGCCTAATTGCGGGCACCACTTTGCACAGCGCCCATTAGGATCTTTCAAAAGTTAGCAGAGACTTCGGATGGCAGCCGGAAGGTTAACGTGCAGTAGCATTGAATCGCGCTGGCAGGGCAGGTGCGGGCAAGGACCGGCGGCGCAGCCAGCAAAAGGGCAAAAAAGGCGGCAGCGTTGATCTGCATTGTGACGATAAATGTTGATATCGGATGTCGGTGAAGTTGTTTTCTGACGCGGCTGATGAGTGATTGGGGCTGAAGATAAAGAAGACCGGATGAGAAAAGAAGACCCTCTTATAAGTTCCGAGTTGTTGGTGTTCCCACAATTTGGGAAATGGTGGTTTATGGCACCATATATCTAGCTTTGATGATGTTGTGTAGCGCGGGATGGGCTGCCGAGATATGGGTCACTCGTAGTCAAAACATTTCCTCTCATCACGGTGAGAGACATCACGATCTAGTGAACTTCGGGACGCGTCGACGTCCTTCTCCACCTCAGTCATCATCCACGTACCGCGCGTCGTTCTATTCGCAGTAATGCCATGAAATTGCCGGGCAGAATTTCGACGCGCTTCAGCAAAACAGTCCACCACACGTGCAGTATATTGATATGATAGACGAATACTTAACCAAAACCATTTAGAGTATTGAGATCCCGAGGCTGCCGTTTAATGGCGAGATGGTGATGATCTTCGATAGATGGACCCGGACGGGAGATCCACATTCACGACATTCACGAGTCAGCATGTTGGTGTTTATGCCACCATGTGGTACCGGCAAGCCCGTGGGATTCGGGAGACCGTTCTTTCTCCTTATTAAGTGCCAAAGGGTAGTCCTGTCAGATGTTGAGCGCAGTGCGCGATTCCCGATGGGAAGTTGGGGAACAGCAACGTGTTCCCTGCCTGGGAAACGGACTGAGCGACGCCGGCGTTGACGACAAAAATATCCCAATGGGAATGTGCACGGCCAAATTTTGTGCCGCTTTGTATGGGAGATTTCCTCAAGGGGCAAAAGTCCTCCATCAGCGGGCAATTCTTCCATCTTTGCGTACAATATCAGAAAGATTATTACGTTGGTTGGTAGCTGATTCGCTTGAAACCGGTGTGATATTCATGTCCCCGCTATTTGCTTGTCTTGTAACCAGAGTCTCTGTAGAAAACAGGTCTTGAATTGGCGTTGCGTAAAATTGTGGGCAGGTCAGTTGCGTACCTGATGTCGAACTCGCCATAAATGTACCTGCGGCCATTATTTAAGACAAGGTCAGTTAGTGTTCGCACCTGTCAACCCTCCAAGTAGTAGGCGAATAATAAGAAGCTCGCGATCGTGTTCCTCTGCAACGTGCTCTGGGCACATGGATAGACTACTCTCATAAATTGTAATGAGGTCGAGGCTGCTTCTTGGTCGCACTTTTTGTTAGAGTCCGAGGCCGAGACTCTCCATTTACCAATTTCGCGTGTATATTGGCTGGACCAAGCGCTTCTCAGTTGATTGGGTTTGCTCCATAGGCCCTTTCTAGGTTGATTAATGTTGTGCCAATGGCCGCCTCGCCGGGAACGTACTTTGGTGGGGACGTTGGTCAGTGCTATGTTCTTGACTCAATGTCCATCCTCCATGACATGTGTAAGTATTCAACACGGATAGCCCGGAACAGAGTAATTTAAAGCAGTCTCATGGCAAAAATGACCGAACCTTGCTCCCTTCACACACTACAAATCCTGCGCCTCAGCCTTATAAAAAGGCCACAAAGACAGGATCGTCCCATCTTTTGGGACAAGTCGACGTAGCACGACTATGCTCGACGTAACCCTGTCTGTGTGCCTGGACCTTTCTGTCTGAAAGCTGACTCGGTAACTTTGACTGTCCGACAGTGTCGGATGAACGCCAACTGCACATGGCCCTGGCTGAGCAGGAGACGATCACCTTAGGAACATTCCGCTGTGTCATTTATCTGCAACTAGTTAACACTTACCCGGCATTGGGTTGATTGAGCCCACTCTCGTATGAACTTTAAATCCTTAGACAGAGCAACTATTCATGTACTTCTTGCCCTGGACTGAATATATAAACCCTACATGCCAGTGGAATGCGCGTTAAAGAAGAGACTTGTGCCAGTTAAGCCATTCCAACCCCATTCGTCACTTCCGATCTAGATCAATTACACTTCGAAATAAGCTTAGCACCATGCATTTCACATCGACAACCTTCTTCCTCACCGCAGCCGTCATCCTGCAAGGCGCTACAGCTCAATTTTGCACGGGACCCCCCGCAGATTGCAACTTCGAGGACGTGAGTATTACATTGGGTGTTTCACTACTTTCATACTACAGAAATGCTGACTACTTTACTTTTAGTGCCGAATCAACTACGCTGATCCGTGGGCAGCCTGCAAAACAAAGGTATGAGATCGCTCAACTCTTAGTAAACTACAAAACGTGAGTCCAAATCGGATGCTAACCCAGGGTTTTCTAGTGCACCCCCAACTCGGGTAGAGATGCTGCTGTATCCTGCTGCTCTGGGGCTCTGTACTGTCCCGCTTAGCTAAGTTAGCTTTGCGGAGGGCCAATCACGTTCAACAATAGAGAGTTGCGACTGAGGACACGTTGCTTCATAGACTGTTCATATCTATTTCAATTATTCATTTTCTAAATCCGAAATGTTCAATTTTGTGACGTAGTTTCTCACCGCCCAAATGACTGTCGAGTGTTGACTCTGTCAATGTCATATGGATTACCATCATAAGACTTGCGGCGTGAAGACACGGCTGTACCACCACTCATAGTCCGAGGCCGATGTGTGTTCAAAGCTGCGTATGTAGGCCCATCCGATGTCTCTTCGGTGTCAACCGCAACCTCCGCTGAACTCGTTTGCTCGGGTTCCTTTTCCTCCGAGCCAGATGAGTCTTCTTGGCGAAGCCGCGCCATGAAAGCTTCGGACTCCGCAGCAAACTTGCAGCGAGATCTAATGGCAGCTCCATACTTATAAAATAGGAATGGAAACGGCACACACGCAAGTGCCAGGAAAGCTGGGATCGAGGACGCCCAGTTGGTACCAAGGTCCGCGTACATGTATGACGTGAAGAGAGGAAATGCAGCGCCAAAACAGCTACGAATGACTGAGTTGGCGGCAAGGACAGACGCAGCAAAGATCGTGTAGGCGTCGATGAGGTAGTTCATGATACTCAAGAAGAGTAGAACCATTCCGAAACCAAACGGAATGCCGGCTGCGATGCTAACGGCCCAGTGAATCGAGGTTTGGTTTGTCCAAGCAAACCAGAATAGACCAATAGGGACAGCAACGCATCCGACCATCGCTGGTGGAAGTCGGGCTTCCGGTGGCGCATAGCCGTTATTCTCTTCTTGAACTCGGTTGTAGCGACCATTTGCCGGGATGGTATAGATGATGGCGAAAATCATACCCACCATTACGCCTAAAAATGCTAAGCCGCCGATTCCTTGAGACCAACCCCGTTCTTGTTGGTATACAATAGGGAAGGCGGCGAAAAGCATGTAGAGCGTTCCGTAGATGATGGCCATGTAAAGACTGAGAAGGAAGACAATAGGCTCCCGGAACAGCAAAATCCAAGGACGCAGCAACGCGTTTCTGAAAGACTCTGCAAGCTTGACTTTGCCCTGATCGTGCTCCATCTTGCTCATATAACACTTTCCTGTCATCTTGGACAGTTTCGCCGCCCTTTGTCGAAGCAAGTACGGAGCATACGTCTCAGGCACAAGAGCAGTCCCTACAAGCCAAAGAGTCCCAGAGAAGGCCGCCAAGAACCCGAGAACCCAGCGCCAGCCAGCGGCAGCTCCGAGAAAACCACCTGCAATAGGACCGATGACGGGACCGAGGAAGGGTGCGGCCGCAAAGAGCGCCATCGCCAGACCTCTCTCGGCTGCTGGGAACATGTCTGCGATGACGCCGCCCGAGTTCGCGAGAGGTGATGAGCCGAAAGCACCTGCGAAGAAGCGTAGAATGATCAAAGTCCTAGCGCTATCCGCTCCGGCACAGCCAGCGTTGAACGCTGTCAACACCATATACGTGCCGAAAAAAAGATATTGTCTGCCGAAGAGTTCACTCAACGGAGCCCACATCAGGGGTCCGATAGCAAAACCGAGCACGAAGAGTGAGACGCCAAGGGTAGCGACGATTTGCGAAATTCCGAACTCTTCAATGATCTCGCGGATGCCTCCAGTATATGCCGAGGAAAGCAGCGCCACTGCTAGTGTTGTAAGCGATACCATCATTGTGATGAACCACTTTTTTGGTTTGCTCCAGCCCATGGGGTTTCGAGGGTCGTTGGGGATCCATTGGACCAGGTATGGGTCTTGTTCGGTGCCAGAGCCGGCATATTTGTGGTTGAGGACCTCTGGTGTGATTCCAGCTTGGTCGGCAACCAAGCGCCAATAGGGAATCCTTGTCGGGGCAACGACCTCGCCGCCATCTTTGTCCTTCATACTTGGATTGTTCTCGAGTCGTCGGCCAGATTAGGGAGCAGATGCGCGAGGCAGGCAGCTGCAGGCTCGAGTCGTGATGTTGCCAAGGAGTGACGGAAGAGAAAAGATGTTGCTCAGAAAATCTTGCAGGTGCTTGCATTCATGGGAGGGATGCTGTACTTGAAGGGTCCAACGTTATGACCAGGGGGAGCAGCCCGGTACGGCGACTGCATGTAAATCGGCATACGGATGGGAAAGAGCGCCGGAATCCCGCATTGAGCAGAGCGTCATGTAGCACGAGACTTGCTCATAGCCTCTTCATAATTACTCTAGCGAAATCATATCTAAGTCGCCTGCACGGAAGGGAGCGGACAACATCGGTCTTAAATCCGGACGTGGTGCCCTCGGATCGTGCATACCTAGCACTCGCCTGAGTTATTACCTGATGCAGGTTTTAGATCCCCATCTGCAACGCCTTCAGGTGACGACATCATTTCGCTGACTCTGTTTTGTCATTTGTTGCCGGTCAAGGTGGTGTTGGTGGAGCCCGGCAGACAATGATTCACCTCCGTCGGTCTTAAGTCCGGACCCTAGCGCCCTTCTAGGTGGTCCGGAAGGATAACTCCCGATTTTTGTGCATAACGTGCTTATCCAGTGCATTATTCGACATACTCCCCAGTTTTCTCACTAATGTTGGCAATGGAACTTGGCTCTTCCGGTGCATAACTATTCATAAAATACCGCCGGCCTTCATTAGCTCCCATGCTTGCCGTCATTCCCGACTTCTATTCGCATTATAAATGCGAACCGGCTTTCTGGAATCATTTGAGATCTGAAGCCCGCTCTACATCATGAGATCTCTAGTGCGACCCTAAGGTTCACCAATAAAATTTGACCATGTTGCCCAGATCCCACGTGTCGTGGAGAAATGTCCGCACCATCAGTCGGAGCCGATGTTTGTGGTCGTTCATCCGGTCACTTGCCTGTTACCATCTCACACTTGTTCCCATAAACCTTCCTTCCCCGTCATGCAGATCCCGACTTTCGGAGCCGTCGTTACAGTGTTCTGAATTTAGATTGATCCCGCAAGCCGGAGTTCGGCAACCGTCTGGTCAAGCGTAGCGTCGGGGCAATCAACCAGCACACTGCTTGTGTTTGCCCAAACAGCTGTTTGTGCTTCGCTACGTAAACTTCATTTCCGTCATGCCGCCCCCTGTTCCCATATTGTTGATATGTCGGCCCACTTCTATTGGCAATTGGCAATTGCAAAGTCTTCGCGACTCCTTTTCTGGCCTTCCTGAAATGAGTCTTAAAACAACATTTTATGATTGTGTGTTTGTCTTTCAGAAGCTGCCTCTTTTTACAGATTTGGATGTACAGCACCGTAGTTCGGCGTTAGCAACAGACTCAATAAGGCAGTTTGCTCGTTACTCGATTCACAACCTCGTTCATCATTAAGCAAGGATTCAAACAGGTACCTTCTAGGGAATTGTTTCCCAAATCCCAACCTCCTCAGGTAAGGTCTAATGATTTCCCTCGGATATTAATACCAGTTGGCTGGTGTGCGAGTAACCGTCAGAACAAGCTAAGTGCGCACTATTGCATCAAAGCTATAAGACATACAATGTTCGATTCACTTATCAACTTCAAATCCATTGGCATCCCTCATTACTGAAGGACAATTTTCAGGGGGGCTTTTGCTGAGTCGTTAATTAATGGCTTGAACCTCGTTGACTATTGTTGTTCTAAGTATTTACGACTGCAAGCCCGCACTGCAAACTGATTCGAAACAAATGAACATCGCTAGGCAACTTGATCTGTTGCTGTCGTCGCGGTTATGAGTTTACTCGCGCATCGAACGACATCATTTTGTTTGCAGGCTGTTTATGGACTATCACATGACTATCGCATGATAAACCACAGAACTTTACATCGGCAGTCTCACTGACAGAACTTGGCTAAGCATCAAAGGGACTTTGGAATGGGACTTTCGATTTTCTGACATCCTGTTTCCCTTCCCGGCCGTCGACAGGAGCGGATGAAACCGTAAGTGGATCCGGCACGCTCCAAGACCGAATCGGGTGCCGCGGCACGCGCTGTGCCTCTCCTGTGCATTGTTAGTGCTCACCAAAGACCAACCTTCATACGAATACGTAGGCGAGTCTTGCCGGTACGAAAGTTCATCCGAATGCTGTCAGGTATCCTCTTGGTGGCCATATATCCGTCATTCGTGCAATCCAACATGTTTAAAGTGCCCTTCTCTAGTGATCTGTAGATCATCAAACCCAGTCCAGCAAGACCTTGCCTGCAGCTACACATCGACAAAAGCGAATCATCGAGGAGATGGTAGGATTCGCCACAGTCGCAGCGGTCCTAGCAGCGATCGCTGTGTTCATTCGCATCATCTATCTTCGACTCTTGCCCAAACCGATACCTGGGCTGCCATGTCATCAAGACTCTACGAATCGAATCCTCGGCGATGCTCCCTACTTCATTGAGATTGACAATGCGGGCGGGTTCTGGCTCAAGTTCTTCACGGATTTACTTTCAAAAACCAAGACGCCAATCGCACAATTCTTTCCTGGGCCCTTTGATAGGACGCATGTCGTGATTGCTGATTACCGAGAAGCCCGGGACCTGCTCTCGAAGAGGAGCAAGGATCTCAGTCGGGGGTACACGAACAACATGATTTGGCAGGGTGTCATACCAGAGCACTTCATCGCGATGGAAGATGCCCATCCGTCTTTCAAAGATGCCAAGTTCCTTACCAAAGATTTGATGACGCCGAGCTTCTTACACGGGGTAGGGGTTCCTGGTCTTTTGGGTCTTGATCATGTTCCATGAAGCAGTTCTGACAGACGTATAGGTATCAGCGCCGGCTTCGTATAGAACGGTCCGGAAATTCATCGAACTGTGGAAAAGCAAAGCAGCTGCTACTGACGGCTTGCCTTTTGAGGCAGAAGAAGATTTGGAGGCCTTTACTTACGACATCATGAACACTGCCGCCTTTGGTGTACCGGTGGAAGAAAGCTATATTGCGGAAAGGCTGCGATCTATGAAACGGGGTCCATCTCTTGAGATACCCAGAGAAGCTGGTTCTGACGAGAAGGATAAGAAAGAATCCCTCAAACTTGCCACGTTTCTCCCTGTTGAGCGGCCAGAACTTCTTTTCGCTCTTGATACCCTGAACAAGAGAGTCACGGGTGCCTTCCGAGCAATGATCCCCAGCATCTTCTTCCTTTTCGACAACCTGCGGCCAACTATACAACGAGCTTTCCGCTCGAAGAGGTCCATTCTTCAGTCGCATATCGACCGTTCGGTGGAGAAGCTCTCACGAGGCGATGGAGAAGAGAACTTCGCCTCGGCTGTAGATTACGTCGTTTCTCGCGAGAAGTTGGCTGCGGAGAACGCAGGGCGAAAGCCTGCTTTCGACTCGCTTCGGATGAGCGATATGCTTTGGGGATACATAGTCGGCGGGCAAGACTCGACTCATAGCACGCTATGTTTCACGGCCAAGTATCTCGGATCAAACCAGGACGTTCAATCCAAGTTGCGCGAGAATCTACGGGCTGCCTATCCCGAAGCGGTAGCCGAGAAACGTGAGCCGACCATTGACGAAATCGTCAAAACCCACGTCCCGTACCTGGACGCATTCATCGAAGAGACTCTACGCCTGAGCAGTCCTGCTGGAGCCATCATGAAGGATACGCTTCGAGACATGGACATTGTCGGTTACCATGTTCCTAAGGGAACCCCGATAATGTTCTTGTTGACTGGACCTACAATCGCAGAAGCGGGGGCAGTCGTCGAGGAAGAAAAACGAAGTGAGACTTCACGGAAGCTCAACAAAGAAGGCGTGGAAGATTGGGGCCGAAGCCGCTTTCCTGCGGAGTCATTTCTCCCAGAACGATGGTTACAGCCTGGCGAGAATGATGAAGTCAAATTCAATGGTCAAGCTGGTCCATTCATGAGTTTCAGCCTTGGTCCAAGGGGTTGCTGGGGCAAGAGATTGGCCTATCTTGAGTTGAAGCTGATCATAACTCTATTGGTTTGGAACTTGGACTTTGGCAAGTTGCCCGCCGAGATGGAAGATGATAGCCTGGTGGAGGGATTGTTCACGAAGCCCAAATCATGTCTGGTTAAGTTGAAGGCTGTAAAGACTACGTAGTGAATTTGCTCCCAGAGAAGGAACATCACCCAATCTACGTACCTAGTAGTGTTCTTAGTGGTCCTAGAACATACCTCCGTCATTTTCGGCTGGCGGGATACCGATGATATCGCACAACGGACGGAAGAGAAAGAGCGCATGGTAGTATTTATTCTAGTCATCAGATCTTCATATGTCTGCAACGTATGTTCTGATACGGCCTCAAAAGTAGTCCGTCCGGAGCCGAGCGACGAGCGGATAAGAGTTTTGCAGATCTGGGGTTCAATCCCTGACGCAGAACCCGGATACGAGAGACAGGGAAAGTTCGTCCAATACTGGCGTTCGACGCACACACCAGTTCCTGGGAGATTCGGGTGACATTCATGACGGCCGCCGATCTAGCTCCGTGGCCGCACCGGTTTGCCGGTGGGATCGTGTATCCTAGTGATGTTCGGGCCAAGTTTTCACACAACGCGACCCAAAAGAACTTGGGGACGTGACTAAAAGAATCGAATCTTGAAATTTTCGTCCATCAGGGAGTTCGCCAATCGGATCTTGATCATTTCCCGTTCGCCGAAGCTCACCCCTCAGATCTCTGGGGTTGATGAAGCCTCGGCTTTGCATCTCGTGCGCCGGGGCTTGCAACGACTTCACGGACACCATTTTCCGATTTACCAGCCCATTTATCAGCCATGGCGACTGAAGTATCCTGGCAAGTGGGAAACGGTCCGCTGAATCAGCGGAATTAATCAGATAGCCCACAATACATATGTCGTTCCCTTCGAAGCTCAAAGCCATACATTCTAAGCATCAGACGCTGCCCACAATCTTCGCACTTCACGCACCCAACCTTCGCTTCAAAGTTTTTAGAGGGTAGACCCTCCAATAATCAACCATGAGTTCGTCTGACGCCGCGTTGTCCGTGAACGCTGTCGTCGGAACTCTACTCGCGACTTTTCTCCTTACCATCACCTTCGCGTTCCTGTCTTCAAGTAGCAGTCTGTCAAGTTTCCCGCTAGTGGGAAAGGAAGCTGGCGGTTATGAGAAGCGACGCAAGATGTACTTTGCGATGGCCACCAAACTTTATGAAGAAGGCTATCAGAAGGTTTCTATCCACGTAAAAGTCTTTAGAGATCATTGGGCTAACCTCGATCTCTGAAGTTCAAGTCGTCAATATGGCGTATTACCGGTGCTGATGGTAAGTGGCAAGCACTTCTCGAAGTTCAGTATCAGCTGACGCCGTGGCAGGCGACATCGTCATGATCCCGCTTCACCATTGCGACGATCTCCGAAAAATGCCTGACGACACCGTCAACAACGTTCCTCTCCTGGAAGCTGTTAGTAGAGCCGCCCTGGTACTCTGTTGCACTGCTGATGCTCATTCTTCTGCAGCTTTGCGAGACGAGATGGACAGACTACCACCCAATAAACCCCCTTTTACTCAACGTCATCAAGTCGAACCTCACCCCAAGCCTAGCCAAAGTCGCCGTCACACTTTCAGGCCACATCCAACGTACCGTCTTGGACTCGCTCGGTTCTTGTACCGAATGGACGGAAGTGGTGCTGTACGAGAAACTGCTGAACATGGTAGCCATCATCTCCGGCCGTATCTTCATCGGCCCCGAGCTTTGCCACAAGGAAGAGTACCTAGAGGCCAGTACCATGTTTGTCATCGACCTCTTCACGGCAGCAGCCAAGATCAAGAGATGGCCAAAGTTCTTGCGCTTCATCGGCAAGCATTACATCCCCGAAATCAAGAAGCTTGCCGAACACAGACGTCGTGCAGCTCAGGTCCTCGTCCCAGTCATAGAAGAACGTAAGAAGTTGAACACCGAAGGTACCAACGCACCGGAGGATATGCTACAATGGTTCATCGCCAAATCTAGCAAGTTTGGCATGGACAGTAATGAGCAACTCGCCGAGACGCAGCTTAGCTTGAGCGTTGTCGCCATTCATACCACGACGATGGCAGCCACTCATACGTAAGGCGTTCTAGTCCACTAATAAGTCGATAAAGCATGAGACTGACCGGATCAAAGCTTGTATGATATCGCAGCACGCTGTCCCGATATTATTCCCGCCCTCCGGAACGAGGTCAAGTCTGTACTCGCCGCGAATGGAAACGAATGGACCACCAGCGCTCTCTTCCAGATGAAGCTCCTCGACTCCGTCATGCGAGAGTCCCAAAGATTCAATCCCGCTAGTCTAATCAGCTTCCTACGAACCATCACGAAACCAGTGACGCTCAAAGACGGCACTACACTCCCCACCGGCACCAACATCGCGGTGCCCATGGTCGGTCCTCTACAAGATGATTCTCACTATACAGACCCAAACCTATTCGACCCCTACCGCTTCGTATCCATCCGTGACGAGATGCGCAGCGATCCGTTGCAGTATGCCAACAAGGAACAGTATCAATTCGTGTCTTCGACCAAGGAGAATATGGCCTTTGGCTTCGGTCGTCACGCGTGTCCGGGACGATTCTTTGCTGCCACCGAGATCAAGATGCTCCTCGCGAGACTTCTCCTCGAGTACGATATCCGACTGCCAGACGGGGTGCAAAACCGCTATGAGAATATTGTAAGAGGCGATATGATTGAACCGGATCATACGAAGACGATGATGGTGAGGAAAGCCACCGCACCGAAAGAGTGAGGTAAGCTCCTCGGGGACTGGTCTGCGTGGTGGTATGGCTTTTTTGGGGTGAGCATGAGGTCGTGCGGTCATGACGACAAGGTCACATCGCGCGGGCGTCTAGGACAAGTCACACATTATTGTAACTTCTTGCCGGTGATTTTGTGATTGTATTGAGCGACGATGGGTAGTAAGCTATCTTTGAGGAACGGCCCAGTATCTACGCCGACCAGGTATTAGAGAAGACCACCATGCCTCACATGATTCCTCGCAACAAAATGGAATGTACCGTCATGACAGCGACGGATTCAAAGCTGTGATCCCATGAACTGCCACAAAGCAGGGTTCTGACTTGGCGGAATACCCATCTGTCTCAAGTCGACAAGAACCGGGTCATCCTTCCGAGTGTCTGGATGCAGCTGAATTCCGGCGTTGTCCTCGGCTGTACCGTACCTCGGAGCTTCAACAATCCCTTCAAGATCCAATTGCTGTTCAGCTGGGTCGCCTGACTTGCTAGGGTCCTCATTGAGTGCACCAGCACTCTGTTGGATGGTTTGAACAGCGTCTTCTCCTTCCGTTTGCTTTCGAGGCCCCATGCATCTGTTGAATAGTCCCATCACTGGACCGAGACTGCGTGTAGCTGTCGCTGGCTCCAGACGACGTGACGTAAATGATTTTCATGGGAGAGCGAACATCTTCCAAGCTGCAATCAGGAGCCAATCAGGTATGAGACGGACCAGCATGCCGACAGGAATAGTGAGAACACCAAACATAAGAGACCAGCCCCCCTGAGCTCCCGTGAGAGGAGCAACTTGGAATGCTTCTCCACCCAGAAAGATGATTATGACTTGTCCAGCAAGTGTCACACCCTGGACAAACATAAACCAAGGATTCTGAAGGATACCCTCCAAAATGTTGAATTGGTTGTCGATCCGTCGGGAACTACAAACCCATTAGTCAAAGAGATACCAAGTTTCTCCGCCAAGGTTGACTCACTTGATTTGACTGAAGAATTGCATCCACACAAAAATGTTGAAGGTCATGGTTTGTAATTGTCGCTGCTGTTGCTCGGTGTGGTATTGGAAGATGCTTTCCCCTGCATAGTGGAACGTGAAGATGACCACAAGCTGGTAGATGGACTGCCCTATGACCATCTTCCACATTGTAACGTCGAGGACTGCAACTACTCTCGGTTCGGGCTTCCGCTTCAGCAGATCGAGGGTTGGAAAATCGGTACCGAGAGCCAGCGCAGCGAACGTATCCATGATCAGGTTGATCCACAACAGTTGGACAACACTGAAGACAGATGCGTCCGTGCCACCGACAAGTGCAGATATGACAGTAAGAAGGCCGGCCGTGACGTTGGTGGTAAACTGAAACTGTTCCGATTTGTTAGTCAAAAACGCCAGAAAGGTTGTGTCACAAACCTGCAGAAACTTTTTGGCGGCATCATTGACGGCCCTGCCCCAGGAGGTTGCCTTGGCAATCGATGCAAAGTTGTCGTCCATTAGAACAATTGCGGATGCTTCCTTGGCGACTTCGGTTCCAGATATGCCCATGGAGAAACCCACATCTGCAGCCTTCAATGCGAGGGCATCGTTCGTGCCGTCTCTGGTCACAGCCACGACCTCGTCAAGACTCTTCAAATGAGTTACCAGGCGTACTTTGTCGTCGGGGCTGGATCGAGTGAGTACTTGGAGACGTGGAGCTACGAGATCGAGTTGTCTCGACGTCAACTTCCGGAAGGTCGGTCCATCCATGGCTATTCCGCCAGCCGTGTAAATTCCGCATTCTTCGGCGATAGCTGTGCCCGTGAAGAAGTCATCACCCGTTACCATTCGAACAAAAACACCAGCGGACTGGCATTGTCGGACAGCCTCAATAACCTCAGGCCGTAGGGGGTCGCGGATGCCAAAAGCACCGATGAAAACTAAGTCGGAGAGACTGATCGTTGTATCTGAAGTCGCCGGGGGCCAGTGATCAAAGTCCCTGTATGCCACAGAAACAACTCGCAGGGACCGCTGGGCGAAGCCAAGAATGATGGCTTTAAGTCTTTGTATGCTGTCAGGAGTCATCTTCATAGCGTCGGAGCCAGAGGCGGGATCGCTCAAAATGTCGACGCATCTGTCCAGAATGACTTCTGTAGCGCCCTTGACCAACATTCGGTAGCGACCGTTGCTCAGCCTTATAACGACAGCCATCCACTTCTTTGAGGCATCGAAGTGTGTCACCTGCACAATGTTCCCGTTGGCCCTCTCTTCACTGACACTTCCCATGCCAAGATGCTCAACAGAAAACTTGAGAAGTGCAGTTTCGGTGCTCGAACCAACAAAGTCGTTGCAGTCAGTCGTTTCGATTGCGGTCGAGTTGAGGGAAAAGCTCGTCTTGATCAGTTCTCGGATAGTGTCGGCAGGGATGCAATGAACTCGTTGATTATAGGGATGTCGTGGTCGTGCCCGTATGGGAAGCCAGCATCTCGAAACAATGCTGCCGGTCCAAGTACACCTGCAACGACGCTCATCTTGTTCTGGGTGAGGGTACCCGTCTTGTCGGAACAGACAGTGGCAGCGTTGCCCATGATTTAGCAAGATCGAAGGAGTCGCACAAGGTTATTGTCCTTTAGCATTCTTGTCGTAGCATAAGCCAAGGCCAGGGTGACTGTCAGTGGGAGACCCTCGGGTACTGCGATGACGATAATCGTGATGGACAAGATCAGAACACCCAAAAAGGCATGCCGCTTTTCTTTGGGTCCACCTTGGATGTGTTTCATATCGACGAGGAACCGGATGAATATGATTGCAAAGAAAATACCACCCGCCATCAAGCCAAATCTAAATGTACTTAGCCAATACCCCAAGCTTCTATTACAGAGGAGTCTCTTCAACGTCATCGTGGAGCGACATCATGATCCTGCCATAAGACGAGTCGGCACCCACAGCCAATATGAGATATGCTCCGACTCCAGTAGTTGCTTTGTTCCCGCCGAGGATGAAAGGATCGTTCTCGTTCTCGACTGATGCGGAGGCCGGAGTCTTCACCAGCAAATCTGACTCGCCAGTCAAAGCGGACTCGTCGCAATTGACGTCAAAACCTTGAATCAGAATGCCGTCAGCGGGAACGACGTCGCCTGCCTCGATGTGCAATACATCGCCGACGAGGACGTCAAAGATGGAGATGGACTGATGCTTGCCAGATCGAACAACTGTAACCAATAACCATGCGTTCTTCCTTCTTCTGGTTCAACTTCTGAAACTTGTAGTTTTTCTGATAGTCGTTGACGGCAGTTGCAATCACAATGACCACAACAGCAACCAAGATACTCACTCCCTCAACCCAATCAATCCTTGCTCCTTGTTCTTCGCTTCCGACGGATTGGTAAATGCCGAGGGCAAGAGAGACGACGGCAGATGCGGTAAGAAGGAACATGAGTTTGTCGTTGAAAGCCATCCAAAGAAGTTGCAGAAAGGTCTTGGGCTTTCTCCTGGGTACACGATTCTCGCCATAGGTGGCACGATGATCGGTGAAATTGCCGGGAGTTTGTCCTGGGGCTTCTGTTGCTTTTTGCTCTGCCTTCGTTTGGGCACCGGCGCTCTTGGAGTTTGCAACCATTTTTGCACATACGGAGTATCCATCGAGGATATCTTCGTCGACTCCAAGGCCTGCGTTGACATCGGTTCGCAAGCCCACTGCAAGACCCTCCAAGCCCCCAAAGGCGAGTAGAGATCTCGGATTGCGGTTCTCGATCAACCGGTGGAGTTGCGATGGGGAGAAGGCGAACTTGCTTCCAGGAGCATTGTCCTCGTCGTTGGGCCTCTCGATGGCCGCCGATGCCGCGATGGTGGTCTTTCGATCATCAGGCGTCGAGCCGATAGGGGGCAATGAGGTGATTTCGTCCTCCATCGCCGTAATTACAGCAGGATGGGATAGAGACAAAAGTCTGTGGATTGTTGAATTTTGGAAAGTTGACAACGAAGGAGCGTTAGAGGCTGCAAAAGATGGCTCTTGGAGATATCTCTCCCGGTTGAGCAATTGGGTTTTGTTACATATCAACAAATGTCTCTTGGCAATAAAATGAGGAAGGAGATACCCTAGGAAAGAGCCTCTCTGGTCGGACTCGCCAAGCAGTCGTGCGTGGAATGGCTTGCCAAGACCAGACGGCGGAGTGTGCCGTGATGTACATAGAAATTGTAAAAAGCCAAGATTATCAGCAAGTGGGTAGCCGCCGAATAGAGAAGAGGGTACGTATGCACCACAACAAGACTTTGTTTCCGTTTACCCCCTGCTACTGCTAGGATGGATACCTCAGCTTAATCAGTGTATGGCATTTGCTACATTCACCGCACACCTCTCCACATCCAATCGCTTCGTTGTGTACAGACATTGGCCATCAATCTCCCGACCCCAATAGGGCGCCGTACTGCCACTCGCTTGCTTCGAAGCGGACCACCCCGCAAAGCGACACGCACGTACAGTCCTTAAAGCCAGCCCGTTGCACTGCCCTGGTGGACCGCAAAGCTTGGGAACCAACCACCACCACCTCCTCACCACTTACACCGACGAAAACAACGCAAACTGCAAGACGCCCGCAGCAAGACTAGGAGAGCCATCGCATGCTCATGGCTAGACGCTACCCTCTCCCGAGGCATTGGAGGGTAAGATCCGGGATCGATCCCCTTTTGCAAGCTGGCTTCAACTTATTGCGAGATTGCAGGCTCGCATGCCAAACGGCCAGCACCCTCCTCGTGTCATTGTCGTGAAACAGGAACACCCGGGCGGGGATTCATTTTCATCCCAGCACAATTCCCGAAAGGAGGGTAACCGTGATGAATCTGCCAATTCAGGCTGGAAAGAAACTTTCTTCAAGGTTGTCGAGGGAAGTGCGACTGCGTTTGGCTCAATCGCTGTGCTTGGTTTGGCAGGATATTCCTACCACACCTACTACAAGTATCTCGTGCTACAAAAGATGGAGAACGCATTTAGTGCCGGGTTCTCTACTCCCGAGCTTATCGCGCTTGCGCGACATGCAGTTCCTTCCAAACTCCAGTTGGAAGCAGCTCTACACGAAAATGAACTGGGCCACCACGAATGGATCCCGAGAACCGAACAGCCTCTCGTCGATGCAATCTTAGATGGCAGTCTCCAGGGGAGGTACCACCTCATCACTGGGGAAAGGGGCTCTGGAAAAACATCCATGATCCTCAAAGCAATGAGGCGAGTTCACGGAGACGGGATCGCCATGCTCGAAGCCCACGGTGATCCAGAAATTTTCCGTCTCCGCCTCGGCAAAGCCCTCGACTATGAATTCCACGAGGACTACGTCGGGAGCTTGTTCAACTTCAAGGGCCCCCGTGACTCAACAGCCACTCTCGATATTGAAAGGGCGTTCAACAAAATGGAAAAGGTAGCTTTGACCAGGCGGGCACGAACCGGAAAGCCTCTCATCCTCGTCATCAACCGCGTCCATTTATTGCGGGAAGACGACCACGGCCGCAACTTGCTCGAGCTTATCCAGCAGCGAGCCGAGCTCTGGGCCGCCAGTCGCCTCGTGACAGTGGTACTTACGAGCGACGATCACAGCATCACAGAGCGCCTCAGGTGGCAAGCAACGCGCTTGAGCGTAGCAGACATCCACGATATCCCCCGCGGACCCGCCCTTGCCTCCCTCAAAGACTTTCGAGCGAAGGTCTTCAAGGAGGCTGTGCCGGAGAAAATCCTAGACCATGTCTACAACAGAATCGGTGGGCGTGTCGGTTTCCTCGACCATGTGGCCCGGTCTGAGGACATGCTCCATGCCTGCGACCTAATCTGCGAGCGGGAGAAGCGCTGGCTCCTCGGGCAGTGCTGGATCCTGGGTGGTGACATTGACGATAACGCCGAGGACCAACAAGACTTCTCAGCCGCTGCGATGGTGCTGGCCAAAGCTCTTGTCGAGAAAGAGAAGAACATGGTCCGGGAGGGCATCACCGACGGCCGGCTGCCAGAGATACCCCTCCACGAGGTGAGACAGATCATGACCAGGCCGGACCTGATTCAGCGGCACGATCACGTCAACATCTTCTCTATTGACTCCAACTCAATTGTGCGGGCTGACTCGGTGCCAATGCAAAATGCATTCCGTGAGATCTGCGCGCAGGAGGGCTTTGAGGAGCACCTTCAAGCTACACTAGACCGGTTGGATGAGTTGGAAAGTCTAGGAAGGACGAGGGAGATTAAGATGAAAGACCTTGTCAACGACGGAGAGTTCCAAGCACTGATTCGCTCGGCTAGGGGCAACGGGGAGCCTCTGATGGTCACTGTTAAGGCGGCGTCTGCAGAAAAGGGCGGCGAGTGATTACTATCGAGGATCGTCTCTAAATACGATAAGCCGAGGCACGACATTTAAAACCATGTATGCATGTTTCAACGATCAGAGTGGCGAAGCAAGCTTGGCTCAATGAGGGTGGATGTCTGCCCGATGATAATTTGACGATCCCCTCTCAACATGACGACTTTTTCTTTCCAGCACCCCCTTTCAGCCCCCACCCTAGTATCACAAACAAAGTTGATAGGCCATTTCGAGCGAATTCGGTTTCGGTTTTCATCCCTTATTCTTCATTGCTCAGCCCTACGCCTTGTACTCCCTTTGCCATGATTGTCGTCTCCGCGGGCATCGGACGAGCCGTTTAATTCCGCTGTGTAAAGCCTGGTGATGGTGTCTACCTTCGGACAGCGTCGGAGAACGAGATTCTGGACCAATGAGATTGGGCATCAAAAGCTCTGTTCATTCTTATTCATAGCGAACGAGACACGCGAAGTTCAGCAACTCCCCAGTCTGCTTTGATGAGGAGCGTAGCTCTGGAATTACATGAGGCGATGTTCCTAAGCTCGGACGAAAAGTCAACACGACATAGCGAGCACTTCACGCATTCAGGTCCTGCGAGCTTTGTCTGAGTCAACCGTCGCTAAAACCGACGGCACTCTGGCCACGCACTCACATCAGGCAGTAGCGAGAGCGGCGCTCAGGAGGATGGCCAGCATCGAAGCGTATCTCGTCTACGTATCCTACGAAGCAGAACTTCACGAACAGTACTCCGTAGAACCAAGTAGCCCTGTTTACCGTGGACAAGTGTCACGAGTCCATTTACTTTTCATGCCGACGACTGTGCCTTTCGGCTCTTCTGGTCGACAGGAAGTTATTAAATCAGGCCCACTCGGTGAAGATTACGCTGATGAACAGGCAAGATGATCACAAGCAGCGAGTCTCTGACGCCAAAAGTCAACATCGCCGCGGCCAAACAAATGAGGGCACTTCTAGATTTTTAGGACATAGAAAACACGTTGCTAAGGACTGTTTTCACTCTTTTTCGATACACGTGCCTTCGAGCTGTGGATAGCGAGTGTAACGCCCGGCGGAAGCCAAAACGCCAATCCATGTCTCAGTCGCCCAAGAGACTGATCTTTCTTCTAAGCCGACCAACGTTATGTTGTTTCAACTACACCTCCCCAGGCATTCGATATGTTAGCGTGTTACTTGTGCTGCCGCTGAAAACTTGACAGGCCAGGAGTTCTGCCCTATAGTACGACTATGGAAATTTCGGTGAGGGAGACATCTCGATTTCTAGGCCTAGGGCTCAGAAAAACGCTAGAAAAGGACGACGTAAATCCGCCTCAATAGGCCGCCTTATGTGGCCCTAACGAGACCTCTGAAAATCCTGAGAATCATACTGAGAAAGGCTAGTATGGGACGACGCTAATATTTAGATTGCCTACAGAGGTACAGATCAGGATGCCTAACAAAGTTCCCCTGGCAAGGAGCCTCAAATCCCTTCAGACTTGACTTTGGGCATTAAAATCATGCCTCCTACTGTCCGAAACCGTGAATAATCACCAAATGAATCACTGAGCGGACGAAATCCAATACAAGGTGATCTTCAAACCCAAGGTTGAACAAATAAACTCAATTTAATCATTCTATCTTGTGAACACCTCTAAACCCGCGATAAAAGCGACCGCAAACAGGGGGAATCAATCTGAGCTCTGGGGTATCAGTGTGACAAACGGACGACGCAACCCATCCTGTGCCCCCGATTCAACCTTTAGCCGCATTCCGGTGATACGCCAATAATGATGTAGTGGTAGTAGTTTGATAATGTCCCCCGACAGTCTAGACGATTAAACAAGTAGAGGACGGCGCTGCGCGCTCTCGAGTCTTTACAAAAGGAAATACGGCCCTGTCTCAGGCGGGGCCAGACCATGTCCATGCTCGACGATCTGCTGAAGCTTACTAAGCTTCAACCATCAACTGCTCACCCTCCTCCAACAACTCCGTAACCTTCCTCAAGTTGCCAATGAGACTCTTTCCGAGACCGACCAGGAGCAGCTTCTCGGCGTTGGCCGGCAGGCCGAGGTATGTAGGCGGCTCGCGCTCAGGCAACTTGTGGATCCATGCCATAAAGTCCGGCAGAGACGTGCCTGATGGAACCTCGAGACTGGTTTCCTGGCCCTCTGCACTTTCGACAAGCTTGTGTCCGACATCGTAGGCGGACGGCGTCAGGAACGAGTGGACGAGCTGGTTCAATTGCTTGAAGTCGCCCTCATTGTCAATCTTGCCACCGTAGGTTTCCGTGACGAGGTACCGGATCATCTCCCAGGGAATGCTCTGAGGGGCAATATTTGTGCGGTTGCCAGCAGCGTTCTCGATCCAAGTGTCAATGATGAATGCGGAGCATTCGTACTGAGGCATGTTAGCATAATCGTAGAAAATTCAGTGCTCAATAAAACTTACGTCACTGTCATTGAACTCCCAGAAACCCTTCCAACCCAAGTTCGGTGCGTAACGAAGACGCTCCTGAACAACTGCGTGCAAGAAGGCGAGCAGCAGGTAAAGTCTGGTGCGTTCGACGGGGGCCTTGGCAGACCTGGTTGATAAGGAGGACATGGAGTCCTTCATGTTGGCACGGACACCAGCAGGTTGCTCGTACATGAGAACTCTCGACGCGCGAAGCAGATTGACAGGAATCTTGGGACTCGACTCCATGGAAAGGAAGAGACGGAAGTCGGAGTGAGGGTTGAGCGATTCCATGCGCTTCTCGAGACTCTGCAGCCAAGTAGGCGCAAGATGGACGTTCTTGACCAAGACCCAGTTGCCGAGCTGTGCGGCATTGCTGACGGCCTTGTCGGCGGTCGCCAGACCTTCGTTGGAACCCATGGCAATGTTGGTGCACTTGACGCGCATCCTCTCGACGAGGTTGTCGACCTTGTAACTAGCGTCGAAACCAGGGCTGGAGACTAAAGAGATGGGTCGAGTTGCAGGCACCTGGGTGACAGTTTCCTTGAGATCTTCGACGATATCGAAGATGTCGGCACCAAAGACAAGGGCGGCGAAGCGCTCTGCGGCAGGCACGAACCTGTCGAGGCGGAAGAGCTTGACAAGAAGCAGGGATTGCAAGGCCTGATCGAAAGGCTCGACATTGTCGTCCCAGATCTTGGGCACAAAGTTCTCGGCCAGTTCCTCAGAGAAGAACTTCTCCCACTGCTCATTTGTGATGTGCTCAAGCTTGTCCTTGAGCACGCTCATGCGGCCAGCTCGGGCACAAGCTTCCTCTCTCGCCTCCATGTCGGTAGAGAGATCCTTGCCCTCCACGCGATCGTCAAGGATGACGTCAATCAAGGTCTTGTCCATCTTGTAGGGCGACGCCTGGGCAAGCAGCATGGCCAGCGTGATTCGGTCCTTCTGAAGCAGGCCGAGCGCAGTCCGCTTGAACGTGGTAACGAAAAGATCCTTGACGATGATGTCTCGTCGAATGTTGTGGTTGGTCTCGCTGGCGAGGTTCTTGTTGCCATGAAGAACGGAGTGGAAAATGTCGAGGAAGTATTGGAGCGAGAACTGGTAGAAGTGGTTGAGGTAGTGCAGCTGCTCCAGCACAGCGAACACAGTACTGCAGGAGCGGGCAATGATGCTGTACTGCTGGGTGATTTCCTCGACCTCGGCCATGACACCCTCCGTGTTGCTCATCTTGTCAGAGATTTCTGCTGCTTCTGTCTTCAGAGTCTCCAAGGTCTCAATGACGTTATCGTCGTCGAGGATGTTGCCGCGAGACTCGTTGAGGGCTTGCAGAAGACGCTTCTCCAACTGCCTGAGATGAATCTTGAACTCACCCTGAAGCTTGATGAGGTTGGATCGGCGCTCATCGACATCAGGTCTCTCCGACTTGAGCACATCGTTAAGTGACTGGGTCTGGAGAGAGCTCTGCGTGACGGTAAAGTTGACGAAGGTGGTACGAGAGCAAATGTCGGGAGGGAAGGTGGCGGATGGATCGCGAGTTGACAGGTAGATCTTGAACGAAGGCGAGAAATCAATCTGTTGCTTGCCGAGCTGAATGAGAACACGTCCGCCAGTTTTTTGGTACTCCTTGTTCAAGACCTGGTTGAGAATGGGATCCAGGTATTCAGCATCTTGAATGAGAATGGGGTTGCCGAAACGCAGCGAACTCTCAAGTTGCTTCGTGAAGGAATCATCCAGGAAACTGGTGACGGTGAGGCGGCGGTCCTTGCTCTCCTTCTGCAGGAACTCAGTGACTCGACCAGAAGGATCGATAATCAGAGGATAACGGTTGAACCGCTTGAGAATGATGGCATTCTCCGTGCACAGATCGTCCACAGGTAAGCTGTTCTCCTGCCAGGTCAAGCGCTCATCAGCGGTCGATAGGTACTCGGTTACCGGGTTGTGCGGCTTGAACTGAACGCCTGAGAGTTGAAGCTGGTGAAGCCAGTCATCCATCATCGACTTGCGGAAAGTCTGGTCGTAGAGACCGCTGTAAGCCAAGAAGGCGGCGGCAACGAGGACATCGCCAACAAGGGTGCTGATTTGAGTCTCGAAAGACTTGCTTCCCTCCTCCCAACGAACTCTCTCCGAAGACAGACTGTCGAGCAGCTTGACACTTCTGTCGACCTTGAACTGAACCTTGGACATCTCCGACTTAATGGCCTGTGTCTCGCTAATGAGCGCGGCGTACTCTGTTTTGTACTGAGCGATGCTGGACTCGAGGGTGTTGATAGTGTTCTCAACAGCCTTGGCCTCTGCCTTGGTTTGCAGAGCTTGCTCCTCAAGCTGATCGACCTCTTCCCTGAGAGGGCCGACACGATCCAAAATGTCGGAGTACGAAACTTGTGCTTCAACCCACTGCACGAGGGGACCGCAAGCCTTGGAGGCACGATTGACCTTGTCGAAAGTGAACTCAGGGTTGGACAAGAAATCCTTGCGCATCTTAAGACGAAGAGGCTTCGTCATGTTCTTCTCGTTGTCAAAGTTGACGATGCTGGCAATGAAATCGTCGCGACGGATAACACCTT